ATACCTGCAAAACTAATGAAATTCCCATCAGTCTCAGCTGTATTTTGTGTTTTCTGCTAATTAACCAATGTTAGCATGCTAACACAGTAAACTAAGATGTTCACCACTGCTAGCTTGGCTGTAGACTCTTTAAGCATCAATATATTAATTTGCAATCAGTCCAGTTTTGGCCTCTGATTGGCTTACCCTAACCAATCTCCCTCCTCATGACTAAACATTAGCAATCAAATCAATGAAGGCAACAAGTACTAGCCAATCAGAGGCAGATTAGGGCAGGTCATGCCTTAGCCAACCTGGGAAAACAAAATATTGGCGTCCAATAACTAAGGCGTGGGTTGTTATCTTGTTCCTAGTTAGACACATAACCCCAGTGTCTTCTTGGATAAAAGAAATGTCATAGATTACCCCTTAGGGGGCCAATAGTAGCCTCTAATAGTTAACAGCTCAGCCATGCCATTTTGGATTTTCGATAAAGGTTTTTCTCCTCATGTAGGTCAGAATGCCACATTATGCAGAAATCAAATGAATTCAACTTACTTTTCTTAGTTTGCAAACAGTGAAGGAATTGGAGAAAGTGAATTACCTGAAGAATACTTAACAAGACATATCCAAAATGATCCAAATATTTCAGCTGTCAAAGGAACCAGAGAATTAAAAACCATTTGTCATGCTGTGGTATGTGATTATTGCTAGCAGCTTCATGTTATTACTTTGTATAGTCCCAGACTACTTCTAGGGCTATAACATTCTGGTGCCTTTGGATACAGCTGTGGCATTTCTTAACACTCACTAACCACTGTGAGCTATGGCTATAATTAGCACTTTGATGGACCCCTGCTGCTGAGTTATGACTATGGCTACACTTAATACTCTCATTACTGACCGCCTTCGACTGTGACTATACTTCTACAGTTTTTAAATAACCCTCAATGGAGTGCTTGACTATGGCTACAACATACAGGTCTCACAAAACAATGGCTGTGAGCTTTAGGTTATGTTAATGAAATAATAATACACCACAAACTGTCAAAAGCATGATTTTTCATGGTCATTGTTGATGTCCCTACATTTCTCATTCTACTGCGTAGTTCATTTACTTCATTAGAAAGATGACTGGAAGTCTAAAGAGACTGATGAGAGTTTGTGATTTTGCAATCTAGCCTTCAGTCAGTAAAACCCACCTACGGTATCAGATGCAAAAAGAAAAGATGCAGTCTTCCTTTTCATGTTTCCTGCTTTTTTTCTTTCTTTCCTCTTCATTATCTTCATCCGCCTCCCCATCTTTTCTCTCCTCTACTCAGCTCGCTACACCTATCTGTTTGAGTTATCAGTAGGGCTGCTAATGACTGCCAGGCTGTCTGCTGTGATAATGGGCTAACAATATGAGATAATGAGCTAACAGTGGGCTGTTACACAACTCCACTGTAACATACTTGGCTGAGTGCAGAGTTTGTGTAAGAGAAAAAGAAAAAGAGGTAAGCAGGAGTTAAATTGGGGATTAAGGGCTCAGCCTCGGCACAAAGAGTCCCAGACATCATCACAAAAATAATTTACTTATATTTCTATTGCGGAAAAACACATTACTTGAATCCGAGTCCCTAAAATGAATAGCTACTCAGCTTAGCTCCCTATCTTTTTTTCCCCTCTGTGAAATAACTCACCACTCACCACCTACTCTGCACATTTTCAGGACATAACAATGCAATTGATGTGTGTGAACAAGCAGAGGAGAGAGTGAAGCGCCATTTAAACAGACATTGTCAATCTTGCCGAGGTGAGCTAAATCAGGAATGAGCGAGTGTGTCTTTGCTTCTGACTGTAAGTTGATATGATATCCTAATTAAACAATCTCAACACAATGGTGCAGAACAGGGACGCCCATAACAAGTCACATTTTAAACGCAGCAGGTACTGAAAGTCTGTTTCTGTGAATGCCCAAATAAAGGTCATAGTTCTATTGAAGCGTTTCAATCCTCTGCAGTAATTTTGAGCATTTTAACCTCGAGTTAACACAGTATGGGACTCTACAGTGGAGACCAAGGGAGGTTTGTGCTTATTGTTCACACATTTTATGAAACAGTGAAGGACTTTGCATGCTAACACCTGCACATATTTGCACTTTGCTACTTCTGATGGTGCTATATATTCAGTATGGATTTTAAGCGTGGTGACACAGGCACAATTATTCCAACAATTTTTGTTAAGGTTAACAAAAAAATCTGCTTCACCGTACTGTTACTGCGTAACTGTTTTTCTGTGAAAAAAAACCACATCTCATCCAGTTTTGTTGCATATGCACAGATTCAAAAGAACCATACAGGGCAGTGTGAGAAAAGTAAGACCGACAAGTAACTGAGCTCTATTAAATAAATCACTCTTGCAATGATTGCAGTCTTAATGTGAGATAACCTGATTATTTTTAACATGTCACTAGCCTTATTAAGAACCTAATGAACATTAATATTGTATACCATTCACTGATCTCTCACTTATGAACAAACTCCAATAACATACTGTAATACTGTAATACTAAACTATACTGTAATACTATATAATAGACTAATTTGGGATCTGGGTGGGGTAGTGTTGCATGAAAAGTACTGTCAAAACCAATCACAGATATAGAGCTTATATAAATCTTTTGTATTTTGTGCCTGCTTCCAGCCTTTGGGAAAAGTCCTTAGAATAAAAACATGAATAAAAGAATTAAAAAATGCACTTGTTCTGACTTAAAAGAAAAAGTATCAGTAAACAATTTTATTCATACACACTGCCTTCTTGCCTGTACAGTTAAATAATTAAAATGACTATAATGATGCAATATATATGTAGCAGCAATATAAACAGTCATACTTTTCTTTAATCTGACCGATGTGGTGGATCAGAATACTAACATTTTATATGCCTGTCAGATTGCATCTGACTCATTAGCGGTTTTGCACATTATCTCCATTCTGTCAGCCCTGTTATTTGCCCATATAATCTAATGAAGCAGAGATACCATGAAATATTAAATGATAAAAATAATTTTCTAAACCAAGCAGTGTGGGAATGGAAGTGCTACAACATCAGCTAAAACTGACAGATGCAGAAAGAACACCCAGAGAATTACAGAGGAGGCCAATATATGCAGAATATCAATGCTTTGTTATGGTACTTTACTGAAATCTGCAACATATGGAAATCTCTCTGGATCTGAAGCCAGCACATAATCCACAATTGTTCCAGCATACTGTTCTACAAATCGGAGTGCTGTGAATACAAAGGTGCTTCACTGGACTGAAGACAATACCGTCTTATTCCAGAGCGGAATGAGCTGACAGGAGCACGCTGCATGATTGGCAGCAGAACAAAAAAGAAAGAAAGTTAAAGCTCACCAGGAGGGAGGCAATGCATACACGCCTGTGTGAATGTGCATACAATATGTGTGTGTGTGTGTGTGTTTTGGATCTTCTGATTTCTAAAAAATATGCATTTATTCACATTCTACACACACACACTGGCCCGCACACCAGGTTATGGCAGCTCATTGTTAAATCAGCCTTGATAGCTTGTGTGAAATAGCTCAGACAAACCATATGTTTCACTGCCTCCCCCTCTACTGTCAAACCCTATGCTATGGTTTCTCAGGTGGTCACGGATGATCATATTTTAACCACAGGAAAACTAGAAAACATCCCTCTCTCTTTGTTCTTTGGGAGTCATACATATGGCTTTATTAGCATTCGAAGAACACTGCACCATGAATCTAGCTTTTATCTAACACTCAACACCACTAAGCTTTAAAGGTGGCTCTATAAAGTCTGTATGATGCTTGTAGAGAAAAGCAGCTTTCGTCAGCTTTGAGTCACAACAGTCAGAACTGATTCCACCAGTGAGCCAGAGTCTTGGTCAGAACTTCTCATATCACTCCAGCAGCATTATCCACTTCTCTACTATCTTCTTCTTCTTGATCTTCATGTTCAGTTCATTGCAATCATCCCCTCTTTACAAATATTTTATTAAATACACTACTTCTGATGAAGTGTCTGAGAAATGTGGAGTCGATTATGTGACAAGTGCATCTTGCAATATTGTGTAGAGGTTTGAACTTTCTGAACATAGGCCGTTAGCAACAGAGAATTGGATTATACTGCAGGACTGCTCTAAGGAGTTTCTATGGTTTTTAACTAAGTTTCTGATACTATGTTTTTGCAGTGACTCTTGGTGACCATTGGAATCCATTCTAATTAAGAAATAATTTCCTGTACCTTGTTGCAATAGTGAGGAAATTCTAGTAAATAGCAAATTTCACTTAATCACTTAAACAGCATTTTATTTCATAAGTTTAATGAGGAATCTGAGTCTTTGTACATCCTCTGAGAGGACAGACGTGTTAGGCCTCTCTAATCAGCTTGCCACTTTTACAAAATGCCCTTCCTTTCAGCCAGAATTGATCTGGAGAGCAAAAGATTTCCGGCTCTAGGAAGAGTCCTCTAATGCAATCTATCAGAGGATGCACAGATGTGATGGGAGTGGAAGGGGGGTATTTCTGACTTACTGCTGACAGCACTGCACTGGTGTGATGTACTGGACTGAGTCTGTCCAGAACTGCATTAGGCTTAGATTACACCGATTACACAAATTGCAATAAACAAATTCAACTGGATGAGTCTCCTTTACATAATCAATATTAAACTTTAGTATGAACCCTAAAATTTATAACAGTACTTTAGAGCCTTAAGAGTGATACAGGGATAACCACCGAATATTTATACCGTTCAAACATTTAAAATTACAATTTGAAACTCAGTAGGCCTTTCAGTCACAGAGTACCTAAAAAATATAACCATGATCTTTTTTAAGATAAAAAAAAAAAAAAAAAATCTTTTCGTTATATATAGTACTGATAAAGAGTGTAACCTACGGCACCTTTTATCTAGCTCTATTTTTAATCTGTAATGTACAGTATTGTAATGATAGCAACATATTTTTCTATTAGACAATTCAGTGTTTCCTACCTCCAGGATAGATGTCTCTTATTCCATTTGTTCTGAGGAGTCAGGCCTCGTTTCCTGCGGCCCATTGTCACCTCTGCCTCAGACACATCTGGCAGAGAACATCTGGGTGTTTTCATTAGGCCCAGCGTGGCTTGGTCTAAAGAGGAGATGAGATTGTTGTGTCAGAGAGATGCTTATTCAACTTTATGGGAATTTCTGAGGCTACTTGGGGTGATTTTTTGGGTTTGATTAAATCGTTCGTTTTCATAATTTTGCCTTCATCCAGTCAAAGTATCAACTCTCCCACATGATTCCCCCATAAACAAACAGCTACATACCAAAGACTCCGGTCTCCTTCAGCCCTCCAAACTTCTGCATGGCTTTGATAGCCTTGGTCAGGGCCTCCTTGGTCTGAAGCTGACCAGTCACTGGGTCAGGGGGCGGGAGGTAGCCAAACTTACTCAGCCAGTCCTGGAAGGGAAACAGTAGACACAGAGTTCAAGAGTCATCACAGGCATTTCAAGGACTCAAAGTATCCCAAAGCTCCTGAGAAGGTTGACACCTGTTCATGTTTACTGTCTGTGGAAACTAATGTGTCTGAGCACATGTGCACATTCAGGTTTTGAGAAGTTCAACAAAGACGCAATTCAATTGCATGTTGAATTATTAATAAATTACAGTACTTAAGGTGTCATTTCACCATCTGTGCATGTGTGTATGTCCGTGTAAGCAACCTATTTATATATCATTAAAGACAGAGATTGTTAGATAGTAGTGTCTAAAAACAGACAAATGTAGTTCCGCCATCACCATTCAAATACACATTTGTTTTTGTCATTTGTGATGTGTTGTTGATGTAGGCTTACCTTTACCTTAACCATAAGCCATACATTAACCCATTAATTAAGGCCAAGTTGTAGCCCTAAAATGAAATGATTTACTTTGTGAGGACAGCTTTTTAACACCAGATGTGAGTTGTGTCCCCACAACGTGCCTGTGTGAAGTTTTTTTTTTTACATGAATAATACAAGTGTAGACACACACACACACACACACACACACACACACACACACACACACACACACACGCACGCATATACACAGGTTCTTAAAAAGAAACATACTCCTGCAAAAATAGAAGGCATATATATAAGGGTAACACTGCAACTCCATATCCATTTGGGACCAATGAAGCTACTGCCAATCAATGCAACCTAACTGACTGCCTTGATTGATTTTGGTACAAGTAAGATCTGAGCTGCAACTTAAGCATTGCTCTTTCGCTCTTGCCTTTTCTCCTCTGAAATCTTTCTTTATCTTGTTTCTTCCCTTCATCTGTCTTCACTCCACTAAAGCCTCCCCCTCCCTCCTCATGATCTGACAGCATGTAAGAGATGACAGATTTAAAAAAAAGTAAAAAAGGTTTTTGATCAGAACTCATCAGAGGTAAGTTACGTGGACCGATAGCAATGCCGGGAAAATCCCAATAACTCAATGACTAACTCTGCTGGCTGATAATTGCCTCCTCATCCTTACCTTTGCCATCCCTGCAGAGGGCTTGGGAAAGGTTTACAGGGAAATTGAATTGACCCTTAGCAACATCAGGCAGGATGAAAAACAATAACTATTTCCTGAAAAAGTTTCAAACTGTAATGCCAGGAGTAAGCGGGAGAGGTCAAAGAACTTAAAAGAAAGCAAGGAAGGTAAATTGACTCTATGAATCAAAGAACACAAGTGATGGCAGAGTCTTCAGTGTTACCATTGTACTGACCAACAACACTAAAAATAAGTCAGATGTGGCAAGACACGTGAGTTTTTAGACAATAGGTATAGGTTTTAAACTCCATGGTTAGCCAAGCTTATTTGGAAGAATAAAACAAAATGTATTATCCGAATTTGTCTGTTTTAAACATCCATCACAGTTTACAGACTGTCGCTGTGTCCCAAATCCACACTAATTCTAAGCAGGTTTGAGTATGTATTGTGGGAAAAGTGATTAAATTAAGTACAAAACCTAGTATAAAGCATGTGTACTAAATAGGGGGGATTTTTGAGTGTGCTGTTCATGGACACTAATCCTCCACAAGGCAAAGCGCAAAGGAAATGGAGTAGCTGCTCATAGCTTAAAGAAAATAAATACATTGTGAATGGTGCTAAGAGAGCTCCAGATGCCAAATGTTGGAATACAAACAGTAAGTTTCAGACGTGAAGAAAAAACATTTTGTAGATAATATTGATTTTATATTTTTTTTGTACAAATAGTGTACAGTATTACAATTTGTAGCACATACTGTACAAATAGGTATAGATTTGTGACATCCTGGTTCAACATACCTGAATTCCTGTTGTTGTGCATGGAGTGTTTTCATGTGCAATGAGGGATTATTACCAACATTTTGGGTGCACTCACTTTCGAGTTTACCTCCAAATAAAGTGGTTCATCTAAACTGCTGGTCTGATTACAGCTTTGCAGCCAAATCTCAGTGATTTCTGACAGATAAATATGACGGCCATATAAAAATGAGAAACAAGTTATACTCAATCTGAAATTATCTTTAATTCAAACTGTGTGCACTGTGTGAATGTGCATGCATCCATACAGACGAGAGGAGGATTAAGTTATTCTTCTCTTCAAGCAAGGTGTGCAAGTGATGGATTACATCTGTGCTGTCTACAAAACCACAACTCCCTGTTTTCACACACTACTCATAAACTCAAACTGCATCAAACTTTTTTGTAGAGCCAGCAACTAATTTAAACCCTGACATCGTAGCTCACTGGGGGGAAAAAGCTGTAAAACCTGCCAACGAGTTCAGTAACATGCTGAACACTGCTAAATTATATACAGGGATGTCACTGTGTTTAGGTGGAGTGGGTGTACTTTTAAAAAGGCTGCACACAAGTTCAAACAGAGAAACTAAAAATACTAAATTACTGGATAAGGAGAACAATACATTTAACCACACTCACAATAAAGTAGCAACATTTCACCCTCAGATATAAAAGACAAAAAGTGTAAGAGAGTGTAAGAACAAAGGAGAAATAAATGTTAACGGTTTAAATAAATTTACAATAATTTACAAGCATCTCAAATTTAATAAACCAAAAAAAAAGTATTTTCTCCAGGGGTTTTCACCCTTGAAATGATAATAAGAGAAATAAGGTAAATGAGCGCAGAGAGGGGGAAAAAAACACAGAATCTGGCCTGGCCAAATTCACCTTCTCCAAATGTCCAACAAAAAGAAGACACAGATGACGGACTGTTTTTTGTTAAGATACACAGTTAAGCACAGACTCAAACATACATATGTGTGTGTATACATACACATCCTGAATGCGAAAAAAAGTAATGTCCAACACCAGTTTATCACCGTACTGCATCCCAAATGAAAAGCATTTCTTAGAGCCTTTGCTACTACAGTGTTTGCTTCAACAATTGCAGCAGTGTTTTGATTGCTGTGTTGTGTCCAGTGTAAAATAAGAATGTGGACTATTTTACTGTCTTGTGCTTGTAAAGCAGAACTAAAGAACATCTTGAATGACACAGTGTCAAGTTCAAGCACTGCTTCAAGCGACAAAACAACTAATTATGTATTCAGGAAGCTAAAAGTATATGTGGAAAAAAGATAGAGGAGAGCAAATACATATACAAATAAACGTTCTCTGTCAAAAAATAATCAAGACTTTAAGGTTATCTGAAGAAAAATTTCAAATTGTATATGTACTGGCTTTGGACAAATGTGACAAAATAACAGTAGCAGTTTAAAGAAGACACCTTAACCTTATTTTTGGCAAAGATTTATGCATAATAAAGTGCACTTCAAATGTGTGTAATTAGTATCTGATCTAATAATGCAGCAATTTATTCAACAATCAGCAACAATACGACTGCCTGAACGTGTTTGGCAAGTGAAGGAGAGCTGTGTCAAGTGCTGCGATTTGCATAAGATCAGTAAGCTTAGAAAATAATCAAAGAAATCAAAATGCAGTGATCCTGAAATCAAAACCTTTATTAACCCAAGTACATAAAAAAACTGAAAATAAAATTGAGGATTAATTCAACATACTCGTGAAATGAAAGAGCTGGACTGCTATTGATATCAGTGAATGGTACATTGAGTTCAGGTTTGATGGGTACATAGCCATAACTTCACATTGTCTTCTGTTTGGTATTACAAAAGTCAGACCTAGTTAACTGATCCTTTATTGATCCCTCTAGTGTTTATGTATTGTCAAATAACCAACTGTTATTTGTGCAATACATCCTTAAATGCATAGAATGGAAAGAGGCACACTTCGGTAAATGCAAACAAGCTGCACTCGAGATGGGTTTGCCTGTATGATGAGTGACAGGCTTAAATGTTGTATAGGGCAATTCTTCTCCATTTATAATAAGACTGACAGACTCAATGGAAACAACCACGATAACTTTCTCCTCTGTGTTTTCTCTCTAGAGGGGAATTCAGAGCTCTGGCTCAGCTGCAGTCCAGCCCTGAAGCTTACTATTCAAAGACTTCAGTAGAGCAAATGCTTGCTGACGTGGGGGCTTGACCCCATGTCCCAACTCAGGCCCAGGGGGTCTTTACCACTTAGCTTTCTTGCTGCTCAAATGACCTGCACAGTCCTGGTGTGTTATCATACTAATTTGATTGGTGTGTTCAAGCTTCCCCAATAAAACTTTGAAATATGTTCCTATAAAATGAAATAAGAAGGAAGTCACATGCCGTTTTGTTTAAACTCCAGTATCTGTATCTTTTTTCCCTACAATAGCTATAGCTATAAACACAACCATAAATACCCTAATAACCTTTTTATGGTTATCTTAAGGCACCTCAAAGCTTTTAACGTATTCCACCAGCTGTAGCCTCCGTCGCTACAGTTGCTCCCCCCTTCAGTTCTGACAAACCAATCATGGCTGGTTGATGTAAAACGCATCACTACCAGGGCGCCAGTGCTGGAATGTTACTGCAGACACCTGGTATACTTCGAATACCAAGATATTTACCTGGCAGTGATATGTTTAATCAGCATTGTGTGACTTTGTTTGGCGAGGCAGACGTTCCTTTATATGTAAAAGACCTGCACTCCAGCTTTATAGTGCTTGAGAACCCATTTCTCTCAGTCAGCTTACTATGAACACACAACTGTTTGCCTATGTAGGAACAACTTTCGTTACTTCAAATTTCTGTACTTCACTCAAATTGGATCAAACCAACCCCCATGCCGCTCTGTTGAAGCAGATTAGCTAAGATTTTGAATGTAAATAATTATAGAAAGTAATAATTTATGATTATTATTATTTTTTGCAAACTTTAACTTCAATTGCTGCTTATATAGTCATTCATATTTAATGTTACAGAGGAATATTTAAGATTTCCAGATTACTTCTTCGACTCTTACAGTCATGTTTGTTTGGAAATGTCATTAGTGAGTCCGTCTAGTGCTCTGAAAAAAATGACACCCCCATGTTT